TAAATAAATGACAATCATGTATGTTCATATCATATGTGTTATAAGTATATATTCTATTATTTTTATCCAATATCAATTTAAATTTAAATCCAGACTGATAATTCCATTTGAATTGAAGTTACTAAATTTTTTAAAATAAAATGTTTGATGATCTTATAAGCACATAGATATATGTTAGATGTATTATTAACATAAAAAAATACTTGATATATTTTGATGTGTTTGAAGCATATGATTTATGATTTAAATAAATCTCAAATAGCAATTTAGCTAGTCCATCATGAATTTAAAAAGATTAAGTTTCTTTGTAAATATTTTTGGATAAAACATCCAATTACACGATCTTTTTACTTATCATTTAAAATAAGTTTAATAATTTTACATAATATCTGCAAAACAGTTATTGTTATTGAAACAATTTTTTATAACAAAAGCCTTTCCAAATATGGTTTTATTTCTATATTATTTTATATTTGATTTTTCCCTGAAAAATGATAATTATCATACAATCTATTCTCATTCAGTCAAAATTTGCAAAATTTCATTGATTTCTATAGAAAAAATTAAGATACAGCATGCCATTGAATCTCTGTAGAAATTGAAAGATTTCTTGATCCTATGTTCAAATAGTGACATGCCATTTGTTACTTTGAACTTTTTTAAATTTTAACTTGCTATAAATGCTCCAATTCGAAACTAGTTCTAAATCTTATCAATGAAATAATTTACATAATCAAGTCAATCAAGATTTCTTATGTAATCTTAGTTGTTCATTAAGTTTAAGATATTTTTTATTTTTAAGTAACAGATTAAATAATGATATTCATGCACTAATGTATGTCTATGTATCTGCCAAGTAAAGATTATATAATTAAAAATTTGTTATGATTTAAATAATCATTAGGAACTTGTGGATTAGTTCTAAAATTATTACAAACATACAACCATGTATGATGCAACTCTAATTGAGATTGCTGAATGTTGCTGCTCTATCACTATTGTTGTGATAGCAAGTACATACGGTTATATTGCATCATCACACATTGATACCTGCTATTTTTTAATTGCTACTATAGATATCAATTTTCTTGTGTAGTTTGTCTATTTCATCATTTTTTATGTCACTATTGCTTATCATTGTACTTTGCAGTTCTTTTACTTCTTTAATCTCTTGTTGTTGTTGCGCCAATTTATTTGACATTCCTATCTTTGTTTGACTCAAAGTTGGTTATTTGCTGTCGTAGTTTGTGGATGATTGTTTGCAGAAGCATCTATAATTGTTTGCTATAGCCGTTTGTTTGTATGCTTTCGCTCACAATGTTTGTTCATTTTGTTTTTTTTCACGCTTGTAAATATGCTCACAATGTTTCTTCATTTTTATATTTATACTCGTAAATCAATTTTACATGACATTTTGATACACAATCTTGTTGAATTATTCAATATTTACTATCTACATAAAATCAACATAGGAAATAAATAATTCACTTTTGCAATTCACATAAAAATAGAAATTTGACCTAAACGTTAAAATTGTATCATAAAGAGTTACAACCAACTCCTTTATATAATAACACAATAACTAACATTATTAAACATAATTATATCAAGTAAAATCAATCAAAACTTGGATTATTTCTTAAGAAACATGTACTTGTAGCAAATACATCTTCCACATTGAATGTAATTGCTAGTCGTACAAGTCTAACTTTAGAAATTCAATTATTTGAGTTCTTGATTTTGAAGTATTGTGATGATATGATTTCAAGGTGTGATTTGTATAATTGTATGGGACTATATGTTATGTCATCTTCCAAACATTGATGTCTATTGATTAAATATGGCAATGATGCAAGTAGGTTATGGATGCATGATGTCATAACTAGTGAATAAAACAAAAAGTATTTTGGTTTGTTTACAAGAATATCATATGTCTTGTTTCACATCTCCTTTCAATGTAGAGTGCAATGAATGATGAAGATGTCATCAATGCGGTTTACACGCAGACTGCTTTGATTGTTTCATGATATAAATATCACCAAATTTTGGCATCGAAAGATGCTTAAGCTTATTGATATAATCTATAATTAAGTATTATGTTACTAAAATAAATTAATGCTTCCACATTGAATTTTATCTTATACCACTTAACATTTTAATAGTTTAGTCTATATGTGAAGAATTTTCAATCGAACATAGATCTCAACGTGAGCATAACTATCTCGTTCTTATGTATTCTATCTATTGAATGGTAGTATACATAGTTTTGCATTGCTTGTTAGCTTACTTGCTACAAGATGTGTCTTAGCCTACTCTTCCATACCCATACAAGCAATTGGTTTCTTCGTTCTAATAATGTATATCAGAAAGATAACCATAACTTTCTGACAATACAATCTCTCTAATAAGAATGAAAATAATACTCTACATGTTTGAACTGGTAGAGGAATGGATAAAATAGACTAACTAAAACTTAAACTGGATAAAATAAACTCTAGTAAGAAAAATGCCGAAACGAATTTTTACTATCTTTTCTGTCCATCATGTTTTAACAGGGATCCTTGCAATATTGCTGTTGCTTTAGCTATTTGAAGTTGAAAAAGCAAGGATGTTATTTAGACAGGCAAGAGAGTTATGTATGCACGGATGTTTTTTATTGTCTCAACTAAGTAACTCTTGCAAACTCATTTGAAGCTTTGCACTTTAGCTCTCACTATGAAAGTCTGGTAAATTTACCAATTAAACAATACAGTGACTTCAAATATCTCTCTAGCGATTAACTTGTTCCAGAGTTCCTCAATCATGCTATGCTATGACGTTATCTTTCACATATACGTCACAACCCAAAGAGGAATTATTTATTTCTAAAAAATCTCTTGCATATGTGACATCCTTAGAACATAATTTAATTGAGAGTTATTTTTTGTAGGCTCACACTACACAAGCAAATTTCAAAGAAAGTGAATTATCTACTAGCTAAGCTGTCACTTTTACACCTCTTGAGAATTAAAATACTTTTACTAAATTGAGCGCATGGTCCAAGTTCTCCTCTCCACATCAATTTGGATCACAGGGTTGGGGTGACAAATGGTGTGGGAGGTGGTGGCCCATACGGACCACTGCGTTGGCCAAAACAGTCGGCTGTGGATTCACAACACATTGTAGCACATTTGGAACACACTTGATCGCTCCAATTGTACAGTTCAGCAGTTGTGTGATGTGACAGTGTGTGTCATCTGGTACTCAGGCGACTCGTGCGATGGAAAAGATTAGTGATGGTTCGCGGGAAAAGACTGGCGAACATAGTCAGTTCTTTTTGGCAAAAAGATATATTCACATGTTTTGCAATAGTATAATTATTTAAGACAGAACAGTATATACATCAAGCTGGGATAGCTCAGTTGGTTAGAGCGTGTGGCTGTTAACCTCAAGGTCGGAGGTTCGACCCCTCCTCCTAGCGTCTTTTGTTCTTGTTCTAATGCTAACGAACGGGGTGAACAGCTTCACATCCAAAAAGTCCGTCGTGGAAGCAAGCCCTTACCCTTCTCAAACTTACTTTATGGAACTGTTTGATTCCTGATATGGAATTTATAAATCCAGGAGGGAGAACCAGTATCACATCAAAAAAGTCGATTGAAGAAGCAAGCTCTTAGCCATATCAAACCTACTCTTATGGAACTGTTTGATTCCTGATATGAAATTTATTAAGCCAGAGGGGAGAACTAGTTGCTTAGACTATCAGTTTGGCACTAGTGTATAAATATCTCAAACTATCGGATTAAATCAAAGAGTATGATTTTTAAATTGCAAATCACTTTGAAAATAGCTATTAATACTCATTTTGAAACAAACGTCCAATAAAATAAAATAAAATAAAACATTATTTATAAAAAATATTACTACAACAAAATGAAAATGATATAATGAAAATTTTTACATGTTTTGTTTTCGGATTTTGAGTTTGAACGTTGATTATATCATTATTGAGATTCACTATTATCAAATCAGTACACATTTCATATATATCATCCCGTTTTCCTGTTTAAATCAAAACTATAGCTTCGTTCCAAATTTTATAATGACTTATTATTGCTCATATGTGTATGTTTTCCATTTTACTTATTGTGAACAAAGCAGAAGAAATGTTCAGTTACTATCATTGCTATAATATTTTATATACAAGACATAACAAGAGGGCGCAATGTAAACTAATGACAAAGTATGTTGAGATTTGTTAAAGTTAAGTACTGATAAAACCAGAAAAATAATATGAAGTATGAAACTATGATAAAGATAACTAAAGTGCTCTACGATGTCATCTATTGAAACAATCCAATCAATCAAATAGTAGAATGAAGATACTTTAACAAAACATGACAAATAGAAATCTTCCAAAGTATCATCTTAAAAGAAATACTTCACAATTTTCTAGCCATCATGAATGAAAATTAAATGAAAAATTTTGCTTGCATAACGATATTCTTATGAAAATTCATTGTATTTTTGAATCTCTCTATGTTCTCATGTGTATCCATCATAAGATACAAGTGAAAATCCCGATTTTTTTTGGGTAACATCTACTTGCAAGTTATGTAGTTTACAACCAACATTTGTATTTTTTTCAAAGTTTTTGCCTTATAACAGAATGGTATGAAGATTGTAATTGATGTGAGCAATCTATTGGGGTTCTGAATGATGATGCATGAACTTTATATTATAAATTCAGTGCAATGTATCTATGTAAAACTAAAATTTTATGATCCTCAACTATCCTGTTAAATTGACAATAAATTAATTTCCCACAATTTTTACATTCATATGGAACAAGGACATGCAACCACTAGATTAATAAGTAGCACCGAAAGTTAACTTGGATATAATCGTGACTTGTCTTTGACAAGACTAAGAGTAATAGCATGCACTTGTTAATATAATATAGTAAAAATATGATCCATACTAAGTCATTCTCCAAGAACTCTATTTGTTATTTCTCACCATTGGTGAATTAATAAGCATTAAACACTGAAGAGTCTACGTGGTCCATGTAGATATCAAGGAGGATAGGAGCTTAGCATGCGGAGAATGCCAACTTGAAAACTTAAGCTTACTAGCTACCTTGGGTTCATCTGCACTTCGTCTTTTCTGAGGAATATGCCCCAACAAAATGAACTTCGCTGCTGCTTTCTAAATCAGTCATCCTTCGTCGTAGATCCTCTTCCTAAGATTAGGGAGGCCAAGCTACTAAAGGTTGTCGACGCTGCAGAACACCATCTGCTTGACAGCGCAGCAGCTCTCGCTCAAAGTGCTGTCCACATGTCATGCATACAATTATTCGCAGCAAGGTTAAATGACGCGTTTAGCGGCAGGAAGTCAATCTCTCACTCTGACTCCAATTGCAGTCTTCTAATCTCTCCACTTCCGCCCCCGCCTGATCGACAGGTGGCATGTCGGGGCGGCCTTCCGACTTATCCCGTCTAGCGTTACAAAACATGTCAGGTTACCGGTACCGGTACAAGCGACGAGATGCTCTGGGAGGAACAACCTCCACCATGAGGCGCTTGCGTCGGTTCGCGCGCACAAAGCTTCTTCCCTCTCAGTACATTAATCGGTACGTTGAGACGCTACAGCCACAGCACAAATCTTTGCAAATGGGCTGCGCATGCTTTGCGGCTACATCTGCACGACCCGCGCCGCTAATATACGCCTCTAAAGTTGGAACGTCTGGGACGCTTCGCCCGTATGACGACAGCTTCCGTTACATGTCCGAATAATTTCGGCTGCACTTCAGGATTCGGCTCTCCTCATCTGTTGGACATTTGCGGTATAATGTGTTCGTTAGTATTAGGCTATAAATGGTTTCCTAGACTTTCTGATCCGTGTCATAAGCAGACCTAAATTCCAAGGCACTGGGTACAGTGAGGGTTCGGGTGTTATTAGACAACGGTCTGCGAAGAGCTGTAGTGCGCAACTGATGCCAAGCTACAGTTGACCTAAATCTCTGGCCAGGATAAGGAAGAAACGAAATGAGTTGACGCAGTATCTGAAGAAAGCTTTAGCCAGGGTGTGAACCCGATGTCCACTCGTGCGATTAGGATTTCACGACTGTCTCCGAGAAAAGGAAATCAAACACATACACAAATCCTACCGACATTTCAGCTTTGACCTCGAGCTTCAGGAAACTGTTCACGAAGACGTTCAGATTTCAACGACAATCAATGATCGACTGAACGAAATTTGGAAAAGAAAATAAAACTACAGCAATCCTCATACTAAGAGCTGATGGAAGTATGCCTTAAAACCCTGCCCGGATTGCACAAAAAACGGTCAGATTCATTGAACGATAAAAAAGTTATTGAGGCGACGATATGTATGATCCAGCTGTGAATAATTTATTCCAAATCCTCTGTTTTGAAGGTCTTCGATCTCAAACATTCCTAGAACTGCTCTCAGACAGCTTGTCCGTGCATCCCACTGTAACCTCTTGCTATTTCCCGGTTCTATTTCCTATCCTGGCTTACAAATCTCCAGTCCGTCTTGTCTTCCAAAACTGCACTATGGCTGCCCCTTCCTCCATCCTCTTCTGCAAAGTAGTTGTAGCTCGCTGACGTTCATTTTGAGAGAAAGTTTTCGATATTCTCCGACTAAGAGAAACACGTCTCATCGTTCTTGCTCTTTCCCGGTCCTTCTCTGGTAAATGATGAATCGACTCCTCCAATGCAATGGGTAACGAAATGTAATGCGAACAAGCTCTGCTTGAAATCGAGCGACCTGAATTTAGGCGAGACACCTACTGATCCTACGAATGCGACTAAGCCACCGGGAACCACCTCATCTAAGCCTTGCCACCGCCTGTCCAGCACCCAACTTTGGTTCCGACCAGCTCGACCCTGTCTGGGAAATGACGAACAATGGAAGATAATGGTAGTGTCAAAACTGTGAAGTAGCTCGTCAGGCGTTAGTGACTACTTCTTCTTGGCGGCGGCCTTGGTGACCTTGGCGCCGGTGGGCTCCTTCTTCTCGACGGCCTTGATGACACCGACGGCCACCGTTTGCCTCATGTCGCGCACGGCGAAACGACCCAGGGGCGGGTACTCGGCGAACGTCTCTACCGTCATGGGCTTGGTCGGAATCATCTTCACGAACCCGGCGTCACCGTTCTTCAGGAACTTAGGCTCCTTCTCGATCTCCTTACCAGACCGTCGGTCCACCTTGGTCAAGATCTCGGCGAACTTCACAGCAATGTGCGAGGTGTGGCAGTCCAGCACCGGCGCGTACCCGTTGCCGATCTGGCCCGGGTGGTTCATGATGATGACCTGCGACGTGAAGTTGGCGGCCTCCTTCGCGGGGTCGTTCTTCGAGTCCGAGGCCACGAACCCACGCTTCAGGTCCTTCACCGCCACGTTCTTGACGTTGAACCCGACGTTGTCACCGGGCAGCGCCTCCAGCAGCGCCTCGTGGTGCATCTCCACCGACTTCACCTCCGTCGTCAGACCGGTGGGCGCGAAGCACACCACCATGCCGGGCTTGATCACTCCCGTCTCCACCCGCCCCACCGGCACGGTTCCGATTCCTCCGATCTTGTACACGTCCTGCAGCGGCAGCCTCAGGGGCTTGTCCGACGGCCTCTTGGGCTCGGAGATGTTGTCCAACGCGTCCAGCAGAGTCGGCCCCTTGTACCAGTCCAGGTTCGTCGACCTCTCGATCATGTTGTCGCCCTCGAACCCGGAGATGGGCACGAACGGGATCTTATCGGGGTTGTACCCAACCTTCTTCAGGTAGTTCGACACCTCCTTCGAGATCTCCTCGAACCTTCCCTTGGAGTACTTGGGCGTCGTCGCGTCCATCTTGTTGCAGCAGCAAATCATCTGCTTCACTCCCAGCGTGAAGGCCAGCAGCGCGTGCTCGCGGGTCTGCCCGTCCTTGGAGATTCCGGCCTCGAACCCTCCCGTCGTCGAGTCGATAATCAGCACGGCGCAGTCAGCCTGCGACGTCCCCGTGATCATGTTCTTGATGAAATCCCTGTGTCCAGGGGCGTCGATCACAGTGCAGTAGTACTTGTTCGTCTCGAATTTCCACAGAGCGATATCGATCGTGATACCGCGCTCGCGCTCAGCCTTCAGCTTGTCCAGCACCCACGCGTACTTGAACGACCTCTTGTTCATCTCCGCCGCCTCCTTCTCGAACCTCTCGATCACTCGCTTGTCGATTCCTCCCAGCTTGTAGATCAAGTGACCCGTCGTCGTCGACTTTCCGGAGTCGACATGTCCGATGACCACGATGTTGATGTGAAATTTCTCCTTTCCCATCTTGCTAACTTGCAATCTCCCAACGAGCTCGCACGCAAGAGCTCTCGACGATCCGACCAACTGACAGTGAGAGCTGCTAGAGCTCTTTTCTCGAGCTCGACGAGCCGAAGAGGAAGGCAGAAGCGTAGGATATGACTGTCTGGGAGGCTCAGCCGATATATAGTCTTCCAAAGACTGTATGCTTATATCGCCCTGCCCGCCTCTGGACTCGAATTAATGCCCAATGTTAGTGCAGGCCGCGAACTCGTCTAACGTGCAAAGATGCCAAGATAGGCAACCCTTTGTCGTTGTCTCTAATAGGTCGAATTTCTTTAATTTTCCCCCAGCCCCATCGTTGTTCGCCTTCTCTGATTTTAGCCCACGATGCCAACAGGACAAAGAACCCATCTAGGCAGCTGCACAGATATCGACTCGTATTCCTCAAATCCCTTGAGCGTATAGCGAAGGGACCACACGCCATCTATCCATAACCCCAGCCATGGTCACCTTTCCGCCCCAGCATGCCAGACCTGAAGTCGCCCATGCCCGCCCCACAGCACTGGATCCTGTGGATCCAAGGGTGTAGCCACTCTGGCAAGCTTAGGTCATCGGCTCTTCCGACTGCGACTGCAGTCGGGAATTCTGTGCACTTGACTGCGGTACAGACGCCTCCTCGTACACCACCGAACGGAGTACGCTAGGTCGCAGTAGGAGTCTCGGCTCTCTGAGTGCAAGTCCTCGCTTCGCTCACAATGGCAAGTACGCGGTTACGCATACTTGCCATTGTAATTGTTTCTCACCGCGGAGAGGACCGACTTTTGGACTTCACAGTTCATGATGGCACGGAGGCCATTGCCCGCTGTGCAGTGGTTTCCTCGTAGTCGCCGCCGGATGTCAGTTTTGATTACGGACGAAATTGCGATTGTGTGTCTGCGATTACAGGCTCGTCCATGCACCATGAAATGTCATGATTTTCAGATCGTGGGTATCCGTTCCGTAGACCCCGTAAATGGCAGAACTTGGAGAATCTTGAACAGGGCCTTGTGTCTGAAATTAGAAAATTCATGACGCAATCGGGCGTCAGAAGTTTGGCCGTCTTCCTACTTTGGCCGATCGGTCGATGACAAGCGATTCAGTCCGAACGGACCTTGATTTTGGGAGTACGAGTGGGTACATGGTCGTTACCAGAGTTTTCCACGATAGTCATGCCCCACAAACATTGGAGGCCTCCTTGCTCGCAATCCGGTGCCTAGAAGACTTGAAGATCATAGTGTTCGGAAAGGATCACATTATGCCCGAGCTCACAGCTCAGCAGCAAAGGCTCTCTATGTATGGAAATGTAGAGCTCATAACAGAGCCCCCCTCGAGCGCCGGACTTTACTCTGTCCTCGAGACGCTCAAGAAACGCTGTGAGAATGGAATGGGCTACATACACTACTAGCATTTTCCTACAGACCAATCTCTTTGAAGATCTCTTCTAGCAGGTTGAAGTCTACCCCACAGCAGTCAAGTCAATCGAAGCAGTAACGTCAGCTACATACAGTCTCCTCCTCCTCCGTGCCACCTTCTCTGATGCTATCAGATCTCTCCTTTTGACTGTACGAGAATGCGTCGGCAACTGGCTGATACAGTTCGCAGGCTAAGTGTGGCTTCAAAAAGTCCAGGACATGTACCTTTTGATGTGAATGCCAGAACAACAAAAGTAAATTCCGGCCTGATACAGCCCCGCGGGAGATCACGGAAGAAGGGGATGTACTTTTGCAGGGCCGCTGTATTCAGCACATGCAGAAGTAGGAAGGAGGCCCGTGGGGCCTGTTTTGGCACCAACTCAGGATCCAGGTTCGCAGGTATTTGTTCACCAATAGCATGAGACTTGGACCTTGGCTCGCTCGGTGGGGTTTGTGATCGACTCTAAAGACATCGTTGGATCTCTTCACTATCGTCATGCTCTGTTCCGAGAGCCGACCCCTGCCCACTGCCCACTGCCATGTGGAAGCAGCGATATCTGCATGGCGTTGCATGGATTCCACGAGACTCGAGTGCCTGTGCGGCAGTAACCCGCCTCATGTACTGCTCTATAAGGTTTGGAATCATTCTCACAACTCTGAAGTCACACGCACTTCAACATCATCACTCTCTACAAAACACCTACTCCTCGCTCATGTAAATTACGAACTTTTAAGGCCACAAGGCTGCTACGTATCTGCATATGTAGAATCTTTTGACTCGAGAAACGTATTTTCAGCAACCCGCCGAATCATGTAAAAACCTCTGCAGAATCCCAGCACCAGACACAGCACCACAAATGTAACCCACAACATTCTCTACGGCAGAAAAAAACACAGTTGGTCACTCATTGCAAGGTTTCAGACCATGCCCAAGACAGAACCTTAACACTGGAGAGTGGTCTTGTAGACAACTGTAATCCTCTCTATACTGATAAGTGGTCCTTCACCTCGGTTTGCTACATTTCCTTGGTTTCAATTTTGCTGGTTAGGCGTTGAGGTAAGTGAAGCAATTTTCATTAACTGAAGATTCACATTAGTCGGATTCTCAGTACAACCATTGCGACAGGTAGAGGTTGGCACCCCATCTCCGTCTGCTGTGTCACGTTCCAAAGTTTAGCTTCACAAATCGGGTCCCGAGTTTGTCCGGGTTTGCCGTCGAGGTAGGGACTCCCAGCTGAAGTCATGTCTCATGTAAATATTCTAATGATCGGGAAAACTGTACATGCCGCAGAAATGTTTCAGACAGGCTAAGCTCCAACCAACTGCAGACCGCGTGACTGTCTTTGAACTAAATTGCTTCCAAGCCCCTATCCTCTCCCTGGTGTACGGGCAACCGCAGTGGTTCCAGCACAGATTTCCTTGCAGCAGCAGGCCGATTTGTGGGTGTGTTAGTGAGCCATGGTTTGAAAAATCTGGGTGAAGAAGGATTTTTACTGAAGTGAAACCCGCATAAGCGAAAAGCCTGTCTCGACCTGTGCAAGAAGAAGAAATTTTTAAATAATTATAGGAGAAAAGATAAGTCAATTTGGCCGAGTGGTCAAGGCGATATATTAGAAATCTGGCAATGCCCGCGCAGGTTCGAACCTTGCAGTTGACGGAATTCTTTGAATGTAAGGTAATTTTTCTTGGATTTGAGCACGAAGGAAGATCCCACAATATCCTCATTTAGCTCTCTGACTTGACAGCGAAATCTTTTGGCCTCAGTGACATCGTTCAAGGATCGAGTGAGAAGGTAAACTTCAACCTTACGTCCATAAGGTTCTGACTTGCCAGCGTTACCGGCGGGGGAAGAGTGTGGATCATTTGACGTATAGATTAGCCTGACTCTGGACTGATCCGTCCCGCTCGAGTCGAGAGTGATCTTTTGGAATGTTTTTCTGGATGAGAACTTCAAAAGGCTCCCTCATTTGCCATCCGACCTTTCAGAAAATACGTGGAGGTGAAACAGACGCCGGCTGAGTTTCAACTATAAAAGCGGAGCAATGTTGCAATGTGATAGTAACAGTTTAGAGGAGATGCAATGTCTTACAACGTACATCTGTTTCCTTTTCCATGCTCCAACCTTTTGACCACCATCAAACTTCTGTTCCTTGGGTGGTAGGATCAGGGATAAGCCGGCTAACGACAGTGCAGTGACTTGGATGTCAGCCGCCGAGGTTCAAGGAAATGAATCCAGCTACTAATGCTCAGGAGAGTCACTAATCCAGCGAGGTGTTCCACGCCTTCACTGAACCACTGGACCTCCCGCCCTCCCGCCCGCCCGCCCGCCCCACCCAATATTTCGACATCAGGCGGTGGCGGTGGGTTTGTCTCATCGGCAGATCAAAGTAAACGAAAGGATGGTCCCGGTCAATCTTCGCAACAACTAAAGATACAACGTCATACGATACAATACGATATTGGGCCCTTCCCGGTGCTTCGTGCTTGTGCCAAGGTGTATCAAACTATATATTATACTACTCTACAGCGGGATAAAGCAGGACACAGCACCGGCAGGATATGTGCAGACATAGCTCGGGTATCGTAGACTAGTGTGAGGCTATCGCCCCCGAGTACAGTGAGAAGATATGATCCGGATCATGTCCTTTTCAACTCCCCTATTATGGGGTCCCTTATGTCTCCTCCTCCTCCTCCTCCTCTCTCTTTCTTACCCTCTCCCCCAGCACAATATTAATCTTCAATCACATATATAATCACAATACAGCTCTCTCGGTGGAGGCGACATGGCGATTGAGAGGGCATCGCAGGTGGACGAAGTGCCTGCAAGAACATATGCAGCTCCAGTCCGACATATATACAGGAAAACTATTATTTAAAGAAGAATTCAACGTCGCGATGTTCGATTCGCACCGGCAGCAGCAGCAGCAGGCTGTGCTGTTTCTAGGCGCACACTTGCTGTCCATGGGAAAGACCAATCACCGACCATTTACTTTTTATTCTTGGAGAGAGAGTTCAACAGAGTGTGCTAAGTAGGTGCATTGCCCTGTTCTTATCTCCCTTCCCAGGACACTATCCTGCTGGTGCCTCTGCATGCGGGCCCGGAAAAATCACACGCACTGTCCCTGTTGAGTAGAGCAGCGATAAGTTTTGGCAGCGCAGCTGACTGAGCGAGCTGCTGCGTTTTACATGGCCCGAGGATAATACGATTGATGACATTCAGCTCAGAATTTGACGTGTCCTGCAGTCCCCGGCTGCTACAGACCTACTTCGTGGCCATTGTTTGCGAACCCATACCTCTCCACGTTCTTTTTTGACATCTCTTTAATTCGCTGGTTGCCAGACTGCAAAACTGCGAGGAAGGAACGAAGGATGGAAGGAAGCCCGTGGTATACACGCGTCTCTGTTCTCGGCTTCTCATCACACCTCGTGGTCTCAACACGTCCATCCCCTCGGGAATGAAGATCGAAATGCCGCTTTATCCGGAATGTTTTATAGCATCCCGGGGTTGAATCCGAATATTCCCAGCCAGATAAGAAACTGGAAGCAGGAAGAAAACGGCGAAAGCCCCCAGAAATACATGCCAGGTCATCCCTTTCTCATTTTCTTTCTCAGGGGATGGATCCTGACCAATTCGAGTGAGGTGCATCCGAGTCGCCGCCGAGCACTGTTGTGCATGAGCACACAGCTCTGTGTTCCTGAGTCCACTAGAAGGCGGGACTCTGCTGCGCTCCTGCGGTAATGCAATGCGCGTATGCAATTACAAGGGTTATGATTGAGTGAGAGAGAGCTCAAAAACAACCGTCGGCGGTCGCCGCACTGCCCCTGCCCCTGCCCCTGCCCCCCGCCCAGAGACCAGACGATCATCACGATGCACGGAAGATTGTTCGGTCTTCTCAATCGGACTGCCTGCGGTGATCTCAAGTTGGATCCGGGCTTCGAGTCCAATCAAATCATGCGGTGCAAAGCCTGTGGCTGGTCATCATTAGTTAGTTCCCGGGGGGCCCCGGGTCTTGGATGGGAGTGGTTGGAGTGGACTGGGAGTAGATTTCGACTTGTTGGGCACGAAATTGAAGCGAAGAAGAGAAATTGATGCAAGTGATGTCTTGGTTGGATGACTCTATTTGCGGATTTCCAAAAACGCAGACCTTCGAAAAGTGAAATGACGTTGCAGCAGAACAACGAGAAAGCACTTTTGGCAAAAGGCAAGTCTTCCGTGTCTTTGCTCGCTTACGGACGTCCGGCTCACCCGCCGAGGGCTCGTCGAGTTTTGGGTCTCCGAAAACATTTGCGCATCGACGTCGGCGGCCGATCGACATCTATTGAGACCTTTATGAAGATTCGGTCTGTCCAAAGGCCACCGCTCCCCATGTCAACGTTTAGGTCGTAGCGACCTTCCGCTGTCCGCAAGATTTCCACATCCTCGCAGCAGCGACGATGGGGAATTCACGATTTACGCTTCGCATCCACGATGGATGTAAAACTTTCTGATTAACAACCAAAACGCTCGCACCAATTTTACGCGACGGACCGCTCTCACTCGCCCCAGCCATCACCCGACTCGCTATGCAATCACCGCACGTTATCGCCAAGATCTGGATAGGTCGAACGGGAATAAGGGGTGGAGGAGCGAGCACTGCCCAAGATTTAGAAGCCTAAGAGTTTGGCCTGCTGACTGGCCGGTGAAGCATGCAACGCTTAGAATTTAGCGTCATCACCAATTTTCAGCCGAATTAGACGTGCCATCAGTGCAACGGCGCTTAGCATGCATCCCTGAGCGCCGTAGAGTGAGTCATCGGGACGAGCGGATGACGCATGACCTCGAGAGGCAGGAGCAGGAATCACGATCGACGCCACGGCTCCCGAACTGCGACATCGTCCCGCCCGGACTGCAGTAGACCACGAGACCGGGGGCTTTAGGTCGTGGTCCGCTGGGAACTCTTGAATGCGGGCGATCCACACACGTGCAACTCCGCGCACTGCACAGCATGCGGACTGATCCGAGCCCTCGAACGGGCCTCCGGAGCCCTCGTCGCCCTTGGCCGAGGGTCGGCAAAACGCCTCGCGAAAGCGGCTCTATTTGTCCGTCTAAAAGCGAGGGCTTCCAGGTCGGAGAGCTTTTAACACCCCGAGCGCCAGCAGGACCCACAGGGCCCCGCTGTCGCAGGTAGGGTCAAGAATAGGGCTCACCCTCTACTCGTGAGGAAGCTGGTGCACATGTTCCGCGCTTTCGGAGCCAATTCTTTTTCGGGCCCTGTGGTACGATCGACGCAGGTTTAGCAGCGTGCGAGTAATACAAGCGCGGTGGTCGACGACATGCTCAAGTGTCGCGCTAACCAGACCAACCCTTTCCCACTACCCGAAGCCGGAAAGCTTTGAGGGATTCTCGAACGCTCGCGCATAATTAATGATCCGAGTAATGCTCATTATGACAACGGCAACGACATTCAAGGACGCCTCGCACGTTAGTCACTTCTCTAAAGTTGACGCCCATCCTGACCCCCATCATGTTGGCTGATGCCCCAGGTTGCCTGCGACCCAATCCAGCCAGAAGACTTGAACCCTAATCAAACTGCGCTGGGATCGGCGCCCACTCTTACTTCTTTGCTCGGGAGATCCCAAGAACCGGGGTGCATATATAACGCCTGGGTTCTCTGGACACACCAAGCACTAGTTTTTCTGCTAGCTCTTCGTCCTTCTTTCACGAGTCGGTGCTCGTCTGAGAGCTCTCGGTTCGTTTCGTTTCGGTCTCTCGCAGCTCGCTTCTGCGACATAGTCGTCGGCTGCCAAGATGGGAAAGGAGAAATTTCACATCAACATCGTGGTCATCGGACATGTCGACTCCGGAAAGTCGACGACGACGGGTCACTTGATCTACAAGCTGGGAGGAATCGACAAGCGAGTGATCGAGAGGTTCGAGAAGGAGGCGGCGGAGATGAACAAGAGGTCGTTCAAGTACGCGTGGGTGCTGGACAAGCTGAAGGCTGAGCGCGAGCGCGGTATCACGATCGATATCGCTCTGTGGAAATTCGAGACGAACAAGTACTACTGCACTGTGATCGACGCCCCTGGACACAGGGATTTCATCAAGAACATGATCACGGGGACGTCGCAGGCTGACTGCGCCGTGCTGATTATCGACTCGACGACGGGAGGGTTCGAGGCCGGAATCTCCAAGGACGGGCAGACCCGCGAGCACGCGCTGCTGGCCTTCACGCTGGGAGTGAAGCAGATGATTTGCTGCTGCAACAAGATGGACGCGACGACGCCCAAGTACTCCAAGGGAAGGTTCGAGGAGATCTCGAAGGAGGTGTCGAACTACCTGAAGAAGGTTGGGTACAACCCCGATAAGATCCCGTTCGTGCCCATCTCCGGGTTCGAGGGCGACAACATGATCGAGAGGTCGACGAACCTGGACTGGTACAAGGGGCCGACTCTGCTGGACGCGTTGGACAACATCTCCGAGCCCAAGAGGCCGTCGGACAAGCCCCTGAGGCTGCCGCTGCAGGACGTGTACAAGATCGGAGGAATCGGAACCGTGCCGGTGGGGCGGGTGGAGACGGGAGTGATCAAGCCGGGCATGGTGGTGTGCTTCGCGCCCACCGGTCTGACGACGGAGGTGAAGTCGGTGGAGATGCACCACGAGGCGCTGCTGGAGGCGCTGCCCGGTGACAACGTCGGGTTCAACGTCAAGAACGTGGCGGTGAAGGACCTGAAGCGTGGGTTCGTGGCCTCGGACTCGAAGAACGACCCCGCGAAGGAGGCCGCCAACTTCACGTCGCAGGTCATCATCATGAACCACCCGGGCCAGATCGGCAACGGGTACGCGCCGGTGCTGGACTGCCACACCTCGCACATTGCTGTGAAGTTCGCCGAGATCTTGACCAAGGTGGACCGACGGTCTGGTAAGGAGATCGAGAAGGAGCCTAAGTTCCTGAAGAACGGTGACGCCGGGTTCGTGAAGATGATTCCGACCAAGCCCATGACGGTAGAGACGTTCGCCGAGTACCCGCCCCTGGGTCGTTTCGCCGTGCGCGACATGAGGCAAACGGTGGCCGTCGGTGTCATCAAGGCCGTCGAGAAGAAGGAGCCCACCGGCGCCAAGGTCACCAAGGCCGCCGCCAAGAAGAAGTGAAGCCGCCCGCGGGCCCTCGAGCCCTTCGCCATCGCTGTCAAGCTGTGGCACTTAGTGCTTGACACCAGGATTGCGCGCATGCAAACTTGGGTGCTCGACAGGCGGTGGCGACGCATTTTGATAGGAGTAGGAAGAGCTTGTTTGAACTGCGAATAATGGAGCGGCAATTTTGGTAACGGAGTCTTCGTGTTCGGGGTCGTTTTGATTCTTCTTCCCGACCGTTCGTTTTTTGGGTTTTCATTGAATCGATTAAATCAGTGTGTACGCATTTAGTCACAGTACCACTAGTTCAATTATGGGTATCGCAGACAACGATGACATTCATAAATTTGTGGAACCGCCCTGGCGAGAAGAGTTTACGAGAAAAGTCAGGAGACCGAGAAGAACAGTGTTGGCAGAATACCAAGTCACTGGCTGCTGCGAAAGGAAGAAAGATGAGATGTACTGTCACCGGGTTGGTCAAGTCCGATAGTGTACTTTAGAGGAAGGCTCACAGAAGGTTCGGGAGAAGGGTATGAGCAGAGGATTAGAGGAGGTCTCCATGGGCTGCGGCCATGACTGGGAGTTTTAGTCACGCCCATCCGCTGGTTGCAGTAAACACGTGTTGAGTTTCAACAAGACCAGATTAATGTAATGAGGTTCGTCGGCTGATACGAAATTTAATTGCATCTTACTTAGTTTATTCATGTTACAGAGTTTGTGCGTGTGGATGCCATGAAGGTCTACTCAAAGAATTGTACTCTTTTTCACGCTGTATCAATTTCCCCTTTAAAAGAAATGGAAGGAAGTATATTATCCGAACGAATACATGGATTTCTTCATACATCCTTGTATAATGGATCAATTCATGGTTGGCCCATACATTGGAAAGTGTTATAGGCGAAATGATAGTTCGAAGTAATCAATAGTTCTCAGTAAACAATACTTGTCTCATTGTCAGTCAAAATGCTATCATGGGACAATCGGAAGGAGAGGAAGAAGTATAAATTACACACAGTGAATGTAATGTAATCATATACATTGAAGCGAAAAACAAAAGCTTACTATCCGAAAAGAATATACTTCAAAATGTAAAACTTTAAACATGTGGATGTGTAAATGTACATACTAAAACATGAAAAAATAGCAACCTTTCCACTCGCTTAAGCACACTTTAACAATTAGTTCTGGATAAAACCAGAACAGTTGCCCCAAATAAAAAAGAGGATTAAATGTCTGTCTATATTTCAATTCAATTGAGGTTTGGTGAGTAAAATATTTGAGTCTTTGGTCATAACTTCAGAAATAATCAAACATCAATCATGATAATGTATATATATTCAAACATCAAGTCAATGAAGAACAATAAATAGTTTGTTATTTTAAATGGAATTAAGAATTAGTACTAAATCGTAATAACATAATAACAATTAATTCCATTAAAAGAACAAAGGATGTGAAGATACCAAGACCAAACCAAATGTATAACGATTGGCTCAATAGTATCACCATTAAAAGATGCAATACAAAGTTTAAATGTGAAGCCCTAAAAGTTTACTTCATACAGCTATTCTTTCCTCTCGTACCACATGAGGAGTTTCTGCAAGTTTTGGTATGTTAGAGGATATTATAATTGCTGAGAGAAAAGCTCATATTGCATTTGCAGAAAAACGGTATAGATTAAGTTGTTACAAACAAAATAAAAGCTTGAATGTCTAGATGATCCACGTTATATCGCTAAAAACATAAAAGTTTGAACACGGTTATTTTCTTTTGCTCAACATTTTCTGCACAATGAGTGAAATATACCGTATAAATGAAAGCACAAAAATAGACCACAAAAAACTTATCTAGTCAGTAGCAAAAACTATCTTACAGTATTTTCTGGTTATGACGAAAGTCGTATATGTAATTCGGACCGGCTACATGGATGATAAGTGGAGGAAAACAGTAACATGTGTGGCAAGGGAGTGGGAAGTAAACAAATCTTGTCGCATATGTGAACAGATGTACACTCTTTGGGAATTGCAACAAGATTCATACTATCACAAAATTGTATAATGTGTAGAGTGGAATTTATATGTGTTGACTATGCGATGAGCTTTTTAGGAGATAGACATATCCTCTCTTAATCCTCTAATTGCATTTTATGCTAAGTTCAAAATCATGAAAGCAAAATATTTGATTGCAAAAAACTCCAAACTTACAAGCACTTTGGTGTTATGTGGACTAAAAAACGGATGATAGAGAAAAGTAAAAAACTTGAATTAGAATTAGTATTAATTCGTTACAATAAATTGGAATTAAGTTGGAATTCTACTACCATGTATATATAGAGGGTCTTTAACACTTTATAGATTTTTTTAGTAAATATCTTTTTGTTCCCATGGATGTAGTCCAAGAATGACGAACCATCTTTTTATTTGTGCGTTATTTTTTTCATTCCCGCATTTATGGATTTTTGTGTTTTCTATTACAGACTATTAGTTTTCAGCTATCAATTTGAATTTTAGAAATCAAAACTTAAATCAAAAAATGTAAGTCTCATGCATAAAAAATTTCACGAACTTAAATTTAGGTTCTAAATTGTATTCTAATGTTGAAAAAACTTCCAAAATTTAATTTTTTTATTATTTCAAATTTAAAAATTGTGCACATTCTAACATGTTCAAATTTTAGAAATATTTTTTCTTTTCATATAATTTCATAATTTCTTCAAATTTTATACAATCCTGTCAAAACATTTAGATAACTTCAATTGATTCAGAATTATATAACAATGTGATAATAATGAAAGTTTTATTTTTTTTGAAATTTGAATCATGTTTTGATATAACCTATTTTATTTAATCTGATTTGATTAAGCTACTTAGATTATTATGATACAAAATAGCTTGTCAAATTTTAAGATACAATAATTTAAATTTTATATGAATAAATAATAAATTTATTTTGTGAATATAGTCTAATATGATAAATCATAAATTTGTGAGTAATGTTGGGCATGCATCTCTTCTGTTTCTAATTGAAATTGGTATCAAAGCAATTGAGTTTTCAAGTAAAACAGAAAAATGTTTTTATTAATATTTGATAACAACAGTTTAAATTTGTATTTATTGATTTTAATAACCATCATAAAAAACATAAAATTGATGCACACTGTGAAGTTCAATGCCTCAAGCGGGCAAATTATGAGTAACTTAGAATGTGGAGTAGATTAGGATAGCGAAAAGTTGACGCACACTTGTTTGTCCAATTTGTGATTGATGAAGAATTCATAATATAATTGCATAAGGATTCACTTATGTGACAAGAGACAATTGAGTCATAACTAGTCCAACGAATGATTTTTTAGATCTTCTTGTTGTCAAGAAGTTTAGCATTTTTCTAGAAAGTATTGTGAAATTGCAAGATGTATGGAGTTCTTTAGAGAAGAGTGTTGTAATCAAAGTTGTAAATTAAAATGTATGAGGAAAAGAAGGTGGATAAAATTTTCCTAGTGTGTGTGTACCAACTAGACTAGCTATTTCAAGTGGGTGGTGAAATATTTTCTTCACACATGTAAATAACTAAAGAGTCATTGATTAAGAAACTACATTAGTGTTGGAAGTTGGTGTATGGTAATTGCATGATTAAGAATCTACACTAGTATTGGAAGTTGATGCATGATAATTGCATGATCAAAACAATGATACATCTTCATCTAAAGCTTTTGATAATAATTACAATTCTTGAAATCAAAAAAAATATTTTGGATGTACCGATGATGAAAATAGAAAGAATTCTCAATGGATATCTGAAATTACAACTCTACAATGTTTAGATGTTGATAGTTGGAAATTTTTTTTAAAAAGATTGTAGCTTTTATCCATGATACATGGATATCAATGTTCAATTCAGTCAATCATTATGCTAATACTTGGCTTCATTCGATGGATAAAGATGACATCTAAAGTTGATAAAAGAAATATGTAGTTTAAGCAAAAAACATAGATGGTAATTTATTGAAAAAAATTTGTAGTATTAAGTTTATCGTTTCAAAAAATAACTTGAAACAACAAAACATAATAATTGTACAATTGGAATTGAAGAAGATCATTTAGATGTACATTGAATTGAAGACAATCCAGATGAGATGCTAGGCATATGGTTAGTCGATAACATCAAAAATTTATCAAAAGTCGTGAATTTAGTTCATGGACGTCTAAGTACAACATAATCTATCAAAACAATCTATAACATGTATGATTTGATTAACGTGAAATCTAAAAGTACATTAAGTGCTAGGATTTTCACGTATAACTCATGATGACTTTAGTGTATTATTGATTGTTCACATTATACATGAGTGTAAGTACATTATGACTGAATTTATATTTCAAATGTTATTAGATTAAACTTCCAATTCTTATTTAGATTCATTAGCCATCAAAATAAAACATTTAAATGTAAAACTTGAATCATTACTCAAGGATTTTTTGAGATTAGAATTCAATAGTCATTTTTATTATATATCTATAGATCTTTGATTAAAATTTTAAAAGCATGTTCATCAAGGCTTATCATACATACATTAGTACATGCATTTATATATTCAAGTCGCGTTAAAGCTTTTTAAATTCTCCAACCTTCTAGTGAAGGTTTACAAAATCATTTCGTGAAAGTTGAGACAAAGTTTAGAAGAACTCTTGACTAGATTTACAAACTAAGAGCTGAAGTTGCAAGAGTAGTTTCATAGCAATTTGCAGCATCTCATCATGATTATAAACCTTCAAACAGCGCAAAATTCATGGATGTAGATATTTGTTATGGCCCAGATACTTTGTGGGTCTGAAGGGCCAGGGACCGATGATTGGCTGACAGGGCCCCTAGGGGTTGGCTGTCAGACAGGGCCTCAGGGGGACTGTTAGAGGAAAAAAACTGCCAGGAAAAAAACAAATTCACAACAAAAGAAAAAACACCCTGGCTCTGTGTGCCGTAGTGCGGTTGATTAAAGCCGCAGAATGACGCCACAATTCTTTAGACTCTGGATTGACTGCCTTACGCCGTCCTCTGTCAACAATACATTCAGATTATGAGCCTGACGATTTGCCGATTACTCTATCCCGCGAACAGCCAACAAAAAAAGAAATATATTTTTATTTATCGCCTTTTATTTATCTATGATGATTCATCATTGCGCCTACACCTAACGGCTTAAGCTCGCTGTTTCCATTTACTCGCTGACCCATTGTGCAAAAGGCTTGGCTTTTTGAATCGTCTTCTGCCCACTAGACAGTATCCGATCTCACAACCAAACCTTCCGACGCCGGGGAGCCCATACATTTCAATGTTGGCGAAGGTCCAGAACAACCTGTCAAAACCAACCCCGAAGTCGAGACGCGGGATGAGTTCATCTCGTAGCGAATGCTACAAGCAACTGTACTATGACGAGGGTTATTGCAAGGCGCGGGGTGAGTTCATCTCGTAGCGAGTGTGTAACACTAGGGTTTAGAGAGAAGTTCACTCGAAGATAGAAACGTAAACTCTGAAGATGAGCGATACCAACAATGGTTCTCCTCTCCCTTATATAGCTCTCACCAACAAGTACAAGGTGATAAGATCTAATCCCCACCATCCATACCACTCCTAGTGGATGGATGACGTGGCGGATAACCCTAACAAGCACACGGATCGCTGACGTGG